GGGGGGGGTCTTCGACCTGAAAAATCAGGGGTTAGGATTTGCACCCGGTCGAAAGAAACCTTGCTATCGCAAGAGTAACTCCAGCTAGCTTCGCTAGCTTTCGTGAGAAGTAGAAACATTGGCTTGGCAGCCAAGATATTGAGCTGCACAAGCATCCGATCCACAAGAAGAATGCAACACATCCATTCAATCGCCAAAGCGGGACCCAAAATATGCATCTCTTGTGAACTATGAGACTCAGGAGCCGACCCTGCACGATACAGCGGTCTGATACCGTCGCCGCCATAAGCCAGGACGTCAAACCTTCGTCGCGCGCGGTCAATCCATGTCAAACCTCACTTTTAATGCTTGGTATTTGGACTTAAGCGGTTTGAACCCATTTTGCCACAATCGACGTCGCGCCTGTAAAGGTCCTGATTCCACTTGACGGCGAAACGCCTGCATTCCTCTGACGGTCCTGACTTGAACTCTCCTCGAGCCTGGAGCAGCTCTTGGGGACAGCAAAAGACAGAAAACTTCTGAAGGCAAAACACATAAGTCTAGTTACGTAGGTGATTTTTGTACTGTATGTGACACTGTCGAGTCAATAGCATGCTTGCGATGTCAACACTGCCCAAAATAATGGTGTGTCAGGTCGGGACGGTGCGCGCACGGGGTCCACAGTCAGCTGATGGGCACTTCGTGTCCCGGTCGTGTTTTGATGCTGTCCTGGTTGTGTTTGTTGAATCCAGGTCATATATTTGTGGTGCCTGAGAAACATTGTTGCAAGGCGGGGGGCTACAGGTTGGGGAAGATTTGCATGGATGTTCCTGCCAACAATAAACCTGTCTGGAGTAGTGGGAAAGGGGGGCAAGCGACTTACACAAGCATACCGGAACCCAACAAATATCGCATGTGACAGGTGGGTCGAGGCAAACTACCCGCTTTTTATGGTAGGTCTTCAAGCAATAGAGTTTAGACTCCAGATCCAACGAAATCGTGACTGTCGACTGTCGTTGCTGTGTCTGGCCATGTTGACCTTCGTTGTGGATCAAGATAAGGGTGAGGCAGCCGACTTTACTAAAGTCATTGTGCAATAGGACATAGTTGATGTCGCGTGTCAATTTTGGCAAAACGAGTGGCCCAATTGTGTTCCTGGATCCCCAAGTCGTGCGATCGCGATCTTACAAAATGCCGGCACACGCAAAGGGATCGCAAAACCTCTTGAACAGTCAGCCGCTTGGCACCACGTGCACAAGCAACCCCCGACCTGCTCTACAGGAACATCCTTTGCACCTCGGTATCCACTTCCAAACAATCAAACGTTAGATCACTGTTAACACTTCGACACAACCCTGGTTATCACTGCACGGGCCCCGCAACAAGAGCCCCGTCCACCCCGAAAGCACGCACTCGCAAAGCAGCACATCGAAAGGCATCAAGATTGATTCTTTATCCGGGGTTTGCAGTCCTTTGGTTGGAGGCTAGGGTTGGAGGCCATCGCTATCAGGTTGGAGGCCGTTGCTATTAGGTTGGAGGCCATTGCTATTGGGTTTGAAGTCGTTATATACCCCGGCCCCTATTTTCACCCTTCTCCTGCGAGTGGAGGATGTACGCAGCTCATCAGGTTTGTGCCAGTCTTGAAAGCTACACTTGGGGGGCATAGCCCTGCTCAATCACGATTTGGGGGTCATATTAATTTTGCTCACACAAGTCAACTTCGGCCACTTCTGTGCATGCGAATAGCATGTCTTCCCTTCCCCTTCCGAGCGCCTTCCGAGTGTTGCATATTCGGTCATGTGGATGCGGAGGATCTGTGTCCTTGCATGGCTGGAATTTCAGTGAAGGTTGGCTGCTTTTGACTATTCAGCCTGCTCAGCCCTCGGCTCGAGGATTTAAGATGAAAGAAGCATCAGATCTTTGCAGGTTTGGATTGCCGCCCTGCAGTGCTGTCGATGAGTTGCATCATTTACATTGGCTCTCTTGGAAAACGGTAGCATGCTCACTCGCAAGTCTTCGGTGCCTCGGGGGACTTTTTCATCATAGCCTGTGGCTCTCATGTGTGGGCCGTTGATGTCTTGATGTCTTCACAAAACACTCTCTCTCTCTCTCTCTCTCATGAGGTATTCATCAAAGTGTTTCAGTCTTCTCCATCGCTCTCGTACCTCCATCTTTGGGCGTCGGTATTGCCCCGCGTTGGCCGT